TATATTATATATATTCAACAGAAAAAATATAATCAATTTTGGTTCAGTCTTATTTTTGTAAGTGTAAGAGAATGAAGCCCATATGCATATTATACATCATGCCTCTTCAGCTCTACACATGGCTTTATTTGTAATCAAATGCTAACTGCGCATGTAATGTTTCATTGGCAGCCGCAACATTTTGCATATATACCTCTACAGCTGTGAATTAAAGCTGCGAATTAATACCCGTAATAACTAATGTACATTAAAATACCATAAGAGCCTGAAAAACCACCATGGATAATCATTTATCGTTACATAATGCTGGGATCACTCTGCATCAAATTGGAGAGCAAATTGGTGGGGAGGTGGATCTCCATTGTTGGATAATTATGAATACAAAAAAAATGTCTAGTAATATGGTGCAGATTGTCTTATAGAATTCTCTGATAGATGATGATATTTACAGGACCAATGAAATTCTTTTTTTTTTTTTCCTGTGACGTGGATGGTTTTGTTATGATAATTACCAGTGCTGTAAATTGATTTATCAATTTATAAGTGTAATAATCATCATCACTTGTAAGTGAATAATTCCCAATCATCCACTGAAGGTCTTAGTATGTTTGCAAACAAAGGACAAATGTTTTACCTACTGGTGTTACAAAGCTAGAAGTGTCGATGAATAGGGCCCTTGTTCACTTTGTATTGCGCCTGGTGGGACTGATAGGCCACAAGTCCTTGTGTCAGGAAAATATTTACCTATCAGGTGACCCAAAGCAGCTGAGAGTGCAGGTTGTAGTGCAGGCAGCGGAGACAGAAGGCTGTAGGGCAGACAGTGGAGAGTGCAGGTTGTGGGGCAGGCAGCAGAGAGTGCAGGTTGTAGGGCAGGCAGCGGAGACAGCAGGTTGTATGGCAGGCAGCGGAGACAGCAGGTTGTAGGGCAGGCAGCGGAGACAGCAGGTTGTAGGGCAGGCAGCGGAGACAGCAGGTTGCAAGGCAGGCAGCAGCCTCATAAGAAGATGTTATAGGGCATGATTGCTAAGTGCCACTGGCGCTTCTTGCTCTAATATCACCACTGAAGCACATCTCCTAGGAACAAACAAGGCTTTCCATAGCATAACCTCACTTATGGCAAGAGCCTCTCTAACTAGCAAATTAATCGCCTATTTCCCAAGATTATTACCGCAGTTGCAACAATAATCACTTATTAATACTATAAACGGAAACAAAATAGCTATCGACTTTATTAATTTTAATTAGATTTCCTTTTTACCATGGAAATAATGCACGCTGAGGTTTATAACTTTGCACCTGTGTTGTATGTTTATATTTTAACCCTCTGCATATTCTAGGTTTTCTTTTGAATGACATACAATGTATAAATATAAATACAAGCACTGATTTAATCAGCCTATTCATTTTTTAGTTATGTATATTGTGGTTTTTTTAACACTTTGACTTAATAGCAAACATGAGAAAGAACTGCTCAGGCTATAAGAATTTTTATTGACTTGATTGGGATCTGACTTTTTTTTAAGGTTCTTATATTTGAGAACGGGCTTAGGTATATAGGCAACTGGTGAGTAGAAGCTCTGATTTGTTTAACCGTTTGTTGGCCGCCTAGCCGGTGCTCGAAGGGGTTAAGGCGAAAGCAAGGGACTGAGAATTGAATGAAGAGATAGCCCCATTGAAAGAGGTTGAATGCCATGACAACTAGCAACAACCTCAGATTTATCCCAAACAGTTAGAGCACATTGTAAGAGGGCGTCAATCATGTATTATTTCCCCACTGAAATAAATGCAAAAACTGAGCCCTGACAAAGGCATCCAAAGGGACCCGGACATTTGTCTACATTTCGTCCATTGTCCGCAGCTTAGCAATCGGTTTGTATTTGTGTTTGCCCGGGTCCGACCACCCAGGATGCGCTGGGGGCTCGCTACAACCCAGTGCATTGTCACACACATCACATACTAGATGGGAGGCATACAGATCCTGGAATCAACTGATCAACAATAATCCATTGGCTTCTTCTTTCTTTTTTTTTTTCATGTGCTGTACAGTTGTGGGAGAAAACCAGGCAATTTCCCCAGACCCCCACAAAGACCACCTCTCACAGCCTCCTAAACATCCCCTTTCAAACCCTTATCCCTTTTTAACACCTTACACTCTGACCTTTTTTTTAAACTCTTCCTCTATGTAGCCTTATAACATTTGTCATACACACTGCAACATACATTCTTAAAATGTACATTAGACATTTAACATTGGTACAATAAGAATGCCGAATAAACCATTAATAAAAACATATTGTACAAAATGGTCCCAAATAATCCAAGATACAAGAACAATACATCTACCAAGTGGCAGTGAACGATAAATAAATGCACATAACATAATAATAGAATAGCTCTATATGACAGAAAAAGAAGCTTTGTATTTATATCACGTGCACTAAAATATTGCAATATAAGGTCCTAAAGTCACACTAAACAATAGATAATATTGTTAAAACAATCATACTAAACATTAATAAAGAAACATGCATTGTGGCTATCTTATAAAGAAACATGCATCTGGCCAAAGGTGTAAAGTAGTATTTTTTATAACAATTTGTGATGCATTTTCTACAGAATAAATTAAGTCATGCTTATTTGTAGTATTAGTTTGAGAGCAAAACAATTATTACCCATGAATGCATAATGATTAAATTCCACCTATTTATCTAGAGAGCCTTTACAGACCATCAAGGGTACAAATCGCAGAAGGTGATGTATTTTCTAACACGACAGCCTCTAATCTAATGCTTCAGTTTGTTTTAGATGTTAACATTGTTTCAGTAATGTGTCTGCGGTCAATACAATGGAGGTGGTGTTACCTTTAACAAAACAGCAAATCTCTGCCACAAGCAGGAGGGGAGGAAAAAAAAAAGGCTCATTACATTTCTCCACACTTTGGTTTATTTTGGAGCAAAGTAGAATCAATTACTTGCTGTTTAATTTATACTACTCATCCTTAAGCCCCAACCACAATATTGACCTAAGAGGTTTACATAAGTTGGTCCTTTGCCATTTGAATAGCATCCTGTTTAGGTAACCAGCAATATCTTGAATGGGTCTTCTCGCCTCTAATCTAGTTTAGCTGTTTCTGTAAATACTGAATATTCTGCAGCAAAGAATGAAGAGAAGGGAGACACAGGGAGAGAGAGAGAGACAATTTGTTTAAACGTGGCCTCAAGTGTGGAGAATATCATCTACTTGGAGGCCCTTTGTATGTAAATACTATGTAAAAAGGCCCTCCCCGTCTTTGTAATTAATTGACACGTTATACCACTCATCATGTACTGAAGCACCAATGGTAAAGGCGCCGATGTCCCCAAAACCCACAATTTCACATCTGCAAACACTGTCTTCATCCACTTGACTCCTAAGACCCGCCCACACGTGGCCAAGCTTTCGCTATTTTAATGTACTTTCTGTGCTCTCTGCAGGTTCATGTGTGCACACCAACCTTATATGGACTCATCACTCCAGCAATGGCTTATTTTTTTCAGGCAGCAGGCACCAGCTCAGTGTGCTTAAGCCAGAGCCTGAAGTAAGCGCACTTTGGCATCTTTCCTGGACTTACAAACTATTTGAGAGGAGGCTCTCTGCACTCGTGCACTGTGATATCACTCATCTGCAGTAGATCCACACAATTCTTCCCATCCGTGCTGGCTGAGGTTCCCCTCCTGAGATCCTCTTTACTACTACTGCTGCTGCTGCTCTTGTGTATTTTGTTTTATTTTTTTTTTTGCTCCCATCATTATTATTTTATTTTTTTGGTCCTTTGCTGCCTAGAGGATTGGCATCACTACCTGCAAGCCACTGAGCAGAAATTATGTCTTCTTTAACCAACACAAAGACAGGCTTTTCAGTAAAGGACATTTTAGACTTGCCTGATACCAATGATGAAGAAGGATCCATTGCTGAAGGGGCGGATGAAGACACAGAGGGGACGGAGCCCCCCAAGAAATCTGGAGGGTTAGGACAGAGTACCATAGACGCTGTGCAAGGACTGCCTTTGAAAAACCCCTTCTATGACAATAGCGATAATCCTTACACACGGTGGCTGGCTACTACCGAGAGTATACAGTATTCCTGTAAGTACATGACTTTTGCTAGGGGTGCTATAAGGGGTGATGTGTGTGGGGTAGGGCATAAGGAGACAGGTATAGGCAGGTAATGGTCAGCTCCTCTTTACATTGCCTGTCACAGTGTTATCTCTTCTATTCCCAACTGGAATCAAAATAAGGGGCTAGTTACACTTTCTAAGACAGAAGCTGACAGATTCCCCAGACAGAGGCGGCTTTGTGTCCACTGGGAAGAGCAAGCTTTTGGCAGTAAAAATGTCTGCACGAGGCTGGAGCTGGGCTCATCAATGAACGAATTGTTGATTATTCTTTAAAAAGCCATCCACGTATCCTGAACAAAAATAAAGGCTGGAGAAAGAGAGAGCGAGGTCCAAAACTTTAAAACATTTAGC